TCATTTGGGCTGGATAAGTCGAGCTTTAAAAAGTTACATTTTTGTACAAGTACTTCCGTTATCTTCCAGTTTAATGTCTGGGGGTTGCTGTCTAAAAATGTAACTTTTCAAGTTCTGATGCCAATCAATATTGGGGGTGGTCAAACTTCAGTCTAGATGAGACTATAGTAATTTTTTATTAGTATCCCCAGTGGTGCAGCAGATTAAAGCGCTGAGCTGCTGTACTTGCTGACCGAAAGGTTGGCAGTTAGGAATCCGGGGAGCAAGGTGAGCTCCTGATGTTAGCCCCAGCTTCTGTCAACCTAGCTGTTTGAAAACATGCAAATGTGAGTAGATGAATAGGTACCGCTTTGGCAGGAAGGTAACGGTGCTCCATGCAGTCATGCTGGCCACATGACCTTGGAGGCGTCTACACACAATGCCGGCTCTTCGGCTTAGAAATGGAGTTGAGCATCACCCCCCAGAGTTAGACACGACTAGACTTAATGTCAAGGGGAAACCTTTATCTTTACCTTTTATCCTCAGTTCCACCAACTGAAGCATCACTTAAATTGCAAAGATGTAGAAATGCAAAAACAGATAGAAATAAAGAATTTTGAGCCCAAGAGCTTCTTCTAGTGGTCAGAACTGATCAATGCAAAAATTGGTGGGAGGCTTTGTATTGGTATTATTGAACTACTGGAAATCCTGTCTTATCTGCCCCAGCAAACAAAAGTCCTTTGTCTCACCCTGGTCATTCCACAGATATATAAACCCATTTTTCCTAGTTCCAACAGACCTCACTACCTCTGAGGATACTTGCCATAGATGCAGGCGAAACGTCAGGAGAAATGCCTCTAGAACATGGCCCTATAGCCCGAAAAAACCTACAAGAACCTAGTGATTCCAGCCATGAAAGCCTTCGACAATACAAAGGCAAACATTCAATGCCTAGAAACAACAAAATACAGATACACAGATAAAGGTAAAGGCTTCCCCTTTCATCGCCGGCTCTGGGAGGTGGTGCTCATCTCCATTTCTAAGCTGAAGAGCCTGCGTTGTCCATAGACTCCTCCTAGGTGATGTGGCCAACATGACTGCATAGAGTGCTGTTTACCTTCCTGCTGAGGTTTTACCTATTGATCTACTCACATTTGCATTTTTTTGAACTGCTAGGTTGACAGAAGCTGGGGCTAACAGCGGGAGCTCACCCCATCCCATGGATTTAACCACCAACCTACTGGTCAGCAAGTTCAATTCAGTGGTTTAACCCGTTGCGCCACAGCAATATGGGTTTTCTTTTGTTTTCCATCCACTTTTATCTTTTTCACACAATCTTGGTACCCCAGACACTGAAACAAATTCTTTATTTTCTTATTCCTTTCCGTAATGCAAAAATTAGCAAGTATTTAAAGCTGGAGTGGGGAAAATATGGCCATCTGAATCTGTTTGAACTATAGCTCCTTTTATCTTCAGCTGTTTGCACTTGGTCTGGTGGGAGTTGGAATCCTTGACATTCCAGACAGCCACTAGTTTCCCTCACTCGCAATTCCAGAATATAGCCCTTGTCTTAGGAAAGGCTTCTTTCTTTCAGAACTTGGCTCAGGCAACCCATTAGATATTAATGGATCCTCATGATTAGGCTCTCTAAGTGAGAAGAATGTAATGGCAATGTGTTTTAGTGGTTCACAGCCTTCAGTATCCCAGATGTAGTTGGACTTCAACTCCATCAATCCCCAGCCAGAAATGGCTGGTGGTCAGGGAGTTTGCGGAGTCCAAAACATTCTGAGGTCCAAACATTGAGATTTATGTGCTGAAAAGGGTCCCACTTCTTCATGATCCATTTATAGTTATTTGGGTAACTAGTTCAGCATACTGTGGGTTGATCATGCTAGCATTGCTGTCTTTTCTATGTATTTCCGTTAAAATACACTCTCTGTACTTTACACTGTTTTTTTTTCAGAGAGGAAGACAGTTGAGTAAATTTTCAGCAAAACCAGGCAATGCACAGTACTGATTGGTTGTATTTTGTGAAGTCATAAAACCAACCCTTCTCAAATGGATTTTGCATTGTATCAGATTGATTTTCCTTGCGTGTTTCAGTAAGATAATAAAAGGAATTTTTAAATGATAGAGAGATAAATCTGTTTATTGATTAGTCCAGGAGTAATGAGTAAACATGAGTAAACATTCATGTGAATCTTTAAAGAGTAAGAATGGAAAAAGGCAGACCACCCATCCTAGAAGAAGAGTTTGATCGATAGCAATTTGCACGGACATTGTTAGCATTTATGGCTGCATCTCCTTTAGTAAAAGTGAAAGAAAGCTAGCTCTTTCCCTCTGGTCTTACCCTGCAGGAGTATAAATCCAGCCATGGCTATTTTACAAGTTAATTCCAATGCACTCTTAAGAGTCAAGCTACAGGTTGCAATTTGTGTATGTCAGAAGCGACTTGAGAAACTGCAAGTTGCTTCTGGTGAAAGGGAATCGGCCGTCTGCAAGGATGTTGCCCAGGGGATGCCCTGATGTTTTGATATTTTACCATCCTTGTGGGAGGCTTCTCTCATGTCCCTGCATTTTTTCTTTATTTACAGGGGACACAGAGCGGATTACAATGTACATATACATGGCAAACATTCAATGCCATAGACACACAAAATATATAGACAGACACACACAGGCTATTTAACATTCCAGCTTTTTTATGAGGGTATTCTGGCCACCAGGGGAGCTGTCATTTCAACGTCCATTTGTGATACTGATTAAGTACTTCCTCATTCTTTGCATGCTTGCTGGGGATTTTTATGGCGTCGTAAATTAGCCTCCCTGCATAAGCAATACCTAAATTTCCTACTTGACAGATGCAACTGTCTTTCGGGCTGCAAAGGTTGGCAGCAAGCTACACAAATTGGTCAGAAGCTCACTCCGAACTCATGATCTTAATGCAGCTGACTCCCAGCCGGCTACGCATGGGGAGCTGGAGCTGACAGAGGGAGCTCCTCCACGCTCTCCCCGGATTCGAACCTACTACCTGTCTTCAGCCCTGCCAGCACAAGGGTTTAACCCACTGTGCCACAGGGGCAATGAAATCCCACAATTTTGTGTTATAAGGTCAGGACTTTGCTCTTTTATTTTTCCTGGACACAAGAGGGCAGTAGAAGGTAGTAGAATATAGAAGGAGTCGCACTTTCCTTGTACAAATTATACAAAAAGAATTTATAGCTGGAACAAATCAGCAATGAATGCCTCTTTATATAATCCTCAGTGCCAGATTTGCTATGAGGCTACATCAATGGCGGTTCTGCAGCATTGCATCTGTTGCCTATGTATGGACTTTGGGGCAACCTTTTTTTGATGAGCAACCTGTTCCTGATCGTGACAACATGAACACGTAACAAGGATTCAGCTGTTATATGGGAAATTTGGATGATTTAGTTTCAGGTCCCTCTATTGTAGACTTATGTGTTGCTTCCACAGGGAGGTGATAAGGGGGGACCATAGCTTAATGGATATAGCACATGCCTTGCATGTAAAATGTCAGAAGTTCTCATTCACTCACTCTCACATACACACACTTCTCTGTGTTATGTAAAGACCGCCATCTCAATACTAAGACAACTATTGCCAATCAAGCTAAAGCAGTCTCACCAACCTAGTAGGTTTGCTTGATAGAAAGCAATGCCCCAAATGCCCATTGGCTAGGTTGGCTGGAGGATTTGGGGGGATGTAGCCCCTGGTAGTACAGTGGGTTAAACCATTGAGCTGCTGAACTTGCTGACCAAAAGTTCAGTAGTTCGAATCCAGGGAGTGGGGTGAGCTCCCACTGTTAGGTACAGCTTCAGCCAACCTAGCAGTTCAAAATTATTGCCAGGCACTCAGAAAAGCAATGCAAGAAAGAGTGAAGCAGTTGATAGAGGAACTCAGAATCACTTCATACTGACTTTGATTACAAGGTGTTTAGTCTTCTCTGCCTTCTGCCAACCTAGCAGTTCAATGACATGCAAGTGAGAATAATAATAATAATAATAATAATAATAATAATAATAATAATAATAATTTATTTATATTCCACCCTTCTCACTCCGTAGGGGACTCAGGGTGGATCACAAGTACACATACATGGCAAACATTCAATGCCGTTTGTATAAACAGTACACAGACAGACCAGAAGGAGGCTTTTGTGTCGTGCCATGGATGGTAGGGCTCGAGTCCACAGGGGGTGCTGTTGCTCCATCCTCTATGACAAGTCACCAGGACTTCCTCATTCCAGCATTTTCTGATCTTCTTTTTCTTTATAGCATTGTAAAACACCTCCCCCATTTTTTAGCGCTACCTAATTTCTCTAATTACAGCTAACATTGTTTTCAAACTGTTTCATAAAGATCAAGTAGACAGAACATATTGTAAAGAACAATAATAACTTTCTGGCCTTAGGTAAACAGTGGGCAGGGCTGACGGTTGGCTGCCCATGCCAACCCGGGGTTCGAACTTGCAGTCTTTCGGTTGATAGATCTTATAATTGTTGATGATTTACCAGCTGTGCTAAACTTCCGGCCCAATAGGTACGGAAGGTAATGGTGCTCCATGCAGTCATGCCAGCCACATTACCTTGGAGGTGTCTACGGACAACACCAGCTCTTTGGCTTAGAAATGGAGATGAGCACTAACCCCCAGAGTCGGACACGACTGGACTTAATGTCAGGGGAAAACCTTTACTTTAGTTTAGTCTTGAAAAATATTGTTTCCGAATTCTGAGCAAAAATATGTTGCCCATCAGCACTACAGACCTTAACAGTAGTCTATGAAAGAGATGAGGAAAACAAGTCAGTATTTGGAACAGGTGATCAAATCTTGAAGCAACAATCAGAACCATAAAGGGAAAAAAGTTGAGATGGCATGGGTTGTATGTGTTTCTGGTATAAGGAAGATTTTGAAGTGGGAGGCCAGGCTCAGCTTTCCCTCTGCACCCAACTTTCTCTCTCTTACACACACACAAATGTGATTTGTGCTTTCTTTGGCAGCTAAGAGGCCCCATGCAAAGAAAGTGTTAACTCCTAGGGAATGTGCCATTTGGGCAACTAGAACGCTGAAGATGAAAAGGTGCTTTGAAGGTGTTGGGCTGCGGTGTTTCCTTCAGGTGAGTGGGATTCTTTCGCACTTGGGCCACGCTGGGGGAGGAGATCTCGCAATCCTGGGGCATGGCCACATTTGATGTTCACGCCAAGCTCCAATCCCTTGCCTCCTTTGGCAAGATGTAGGACCCCTCGTATCCCAATCCTCTGCAGGGTCAACTCTGCACTGTTGAGTTGGGGAGGGTACCCAAAGGCTGAAATTGATATCTATAGCAGAATGCTTTTGGGTGATAGTTAAATTGTCCTCAATGGTGCAAGGGAAGGAGAGTAGCAACTGGCTCTGCCTCAGGTGGCAAAATGCCTTGGGACTTTAGCTTTCGCTAAAGTCTTGGGACCTCCTCTGCTAACTTAGCTTAACTGCTTTGCCTCTACTGCCTGCAACCTCTAGGCCATGCCTCTCTGTCTTCATTGGTTGGCATTCTGCATTTCTGATTGGCGGGCTGAGTCTATATAAGGTAGTGTGTGATGGCAGGACAAGAAGTACAGGTAAGCTGAAGGGGTGAAATGGGATATAGTGGGAGAGGGCGGGTTCGGAAACTCCATTCCTAGCACCCCAATGCTATTAGTTATTAGAGCAACACTCCACAGTTAGGAGAGCTATTGTAGAAAGTTTCATTTTAAAAACTTTAACCGAATGCAAAAAAAAAACCCCTAAAAACCAAAGTCTGAATTAATGAATAGACATTTAGCCACCCAGCTTTGATGCATCTTGTAGCCACTTTCCTCATTCACTCATTTCCTTTTCCAAGCTTTGTGCATTCTGCAGTTCTCTTGTGTCCTGTCATTGTCCTTTTGGAACAGCAGCATGGGAGTTTCAAGGGCAGTAAATCGTCTTGCTCACTAAGGAGAACAACTAGGATTAAGAGAGACGCAAACCCTGATCCCCTTTACTTGACAGGCTAAGCCTCTTATGGTCAGGGTTGAAGATATATGGGACACGGAAAGGGGGGGGGGAGATTACAGTCCCACTGAGAATGGAAGGGCGCACCGAAGCATTAATCGGCCGTGGTGATTTGTCTAAGTAGCTCACTTGAGATTGCTGCTGCAGTCCCAGATTTACTTCTCTCTCTGGGTTTTATTTAGTCTTTTTATTTCACACCGGGCTTTCTTATATGAATAGCCTTTCCTATAAGTGTTCTGTCTTGGGGATAATGGGAGTTCTGGTGCAACACCTCTCAAGTATATTGGTTTAGGAAAGCTGCTATAATTTATTTATTTCGGGTACTTCTACCCCGCCCTTCTCAACCCCCTAAGGGGGACTCAGAAAGTAGAAGGCAAGCTTTGCAGAACTGGTAATAATATCAGGAATAATAATAATAATAATAATAATAATAATAATAATAATAATAATGTTGCAATCCCAGGCAACAGTAGAACTGAAGAGAAACGACTGGAAAAGCTGACAAGGTACAAGGATTTAAAGATCGAACTGCAAAGGCCAAGCCAGTAAAGGTGGTCCCAGTGGTGATTGGCACACTGGGTGCAGTGCTTGGCCTGCACTTAAACACAATTGGCACTGACAATATTATCATCTGTCAGCTGCAAAAGACCATCCAACTAGGATCTGCACACATTATTCGCTGATACATCACACAGCCCTAGACACTTGGGAAGTGTCCGACATGTGATCCAATACAACAGCCAGCAGAGTGACCTTGTTTGCTGTGTACTAATCTTTTTGTGTTGTAATAATAATAATAATCTTTATTTGTATACCGCCCTATCTCCCCAAGGGGAGTCAGGGCAGTTTCCAACATATAACTGCCTCAAGTTGCCTCCGGGCTGAGAGGGGCAGTATACAAATATAGTAAATAAATTAAATAACACAAAAAATTCAATTGCCTGAAAAGCAAACCATACAGACAAATTAAAATAAACACCATAAAACATTAAAATCTGCTACAACAAATACAAAAAAATAATGTCTAGTAACAGCTGCAGGATCACAAAATAGTCCATGATTCATCATGGACCAGTGCCAGTCTGCAAACTACTGCCTGCCAGCCCACAATGAGTTTCCAGGAATATGCGGAACCACTGTATCCAATGGGCATAAATGTGATGCCTCTGGCACAGAGGCAAAAAGAAATCCCATTCCTGCTGCTCCCCTACATAAAAAAGCTTAAGAAGCACTGTCCTATATCATAAGTGAAATTAGAGAAGTGCCTGCTGCAGCCCTATCAAGCAGAGTTTTATGTTTTGCAGTAAATTTTTGGAATTCCCCAACCAGCAGGGCCTGATAAGTCCTGAGTGTTATAGTCCAAAAATTAATTTATCCAGCTGATTACTGACAGTTGTGTGGTGAGAAGCACCCAAACAAGCCTGTGTTCAAACGTCTTGTGCTTTTTAATTTTTTCAGGATGGGAGCATGGCTGCCACCGCAATGCAGAAAAACCTCCTTGTTTTTGACTTTGATGAGACCATCGTAAACGAGAACAGCGATGACTCCATCCTCCAGGTTGCTCCGGGGAAACAACTTCCGGAGTCGATACGCCAAACCTTTCGAGAGGGATCGTATAATGAATACATGCAGCGTGTCTTGAAGTACATGGGAGATCAAGGAGTGAAGATGGCCGACTTCAAGGCAGTCTATGAGAAGATCCCACTTTCTCCTGGCATGCGGGACCTCTTCCAGTTTCTCTCCAAGCAGCAGGACCACTTTGAAATCATCCTCATCTCTGATGCCAACATGTTTGGCATTGAATGTGCCTTAAGGGCTGCTGGTGCCTATTCCCTCTTCCGTAAGATCTTCAGCAACCCTTCTAGCTTTGACAAGAGAGGCTACTTCACCTTGGGGCCCTACCACTCGCACAATTGCCCACGATGCCCAGCAAACATGTGCAAACACAAGATCTTGACGGAGTACCTGGCAGAGAGGGCTCGGGAGGGAGCCAGGTTCGAGCGGGTCTTCTATGTTGGAGATGGAGCCAATGACTTCTGCCCTTCCACCGCTCTGAGATCAAGTGATGTTGCATTCCCAAGGAAAGGCTATCCCATGCACCAGCTCATCCTGGAGGTAGATAAAAATCAACCTGGGACCTACCAGGCCACCGTTGTCCCTTGGGACTCAGCCATAGAAATTTGCTGCTACCTTCAAGACGCTCTGAAGAAAAAATGTTGAGGGAGGAGAGGACTTGGGAGAAGAAAATGCTGCTTTTCATCCACCCCCTGCAAGCAGTTCAGAAAAATCTGAACAATTAACATCACACTTCTCTCATGCTTGTCTTAACTCTGGGTTTTCTTCTTCCCATTTCTCAAACTCTGGTCTCTGGATATTCCTTTCCTTCGGTCCTGAGACAAGAGCTTTCTATGCAGTTAAGCAATCCATTCAAGGAAGGGTGGGTGGATGCTTTAGCCATTTAAATTTTTCCCCCTCCATGTTTTTAAAAGCTTACTTTAGCATTCCCTAATATCATGTATCTCTTCTATCTCAAATTACTCATCAGAAGCACTTTGGTGAGGGCATGGTTTCTGTTTCCACCAATGCACTTAACAGTTGGAGATTATGGGACTGTACTAGGAAAAATTTTAAGGACTCCATTCTCTCTGCAAAGCAAAATGCTCCCCAAAATCTCCCCCAGAGTCATAAGGAATTTTGCCATGTTTAGTTCCGACTCTGGGCTACGAGAGACCTTTTTTACCGCAGGAAGTTATCCAGAAGTCACTTTCAGATCACTTCTTGTTTTTAATAAGTGTCTCCTGGCCCCTAAAATAGCCCACGCTTTCTTCCATGTTAAAATTGTATACTTAACCCCCCTAGAGCAGAGCTTTCCAAACATTTCAGGTTTGTGACATACTTTTTAGCCATGCATCATTTTGCGACACAGTAATTCAGTTTTACTGCAAAGTATTAGAAACCCCCTGGTGGTGCAGCGGGTTAAACCACTGAGCTGCTGAACTTGATCAAAAGGTTGGCAATTCGAATCCATGGAGCAGGAAGAGCTTCAGCTCTTAGCCTCAGCTTCTGCCAACCTAGCAGTTCGAAAACATGCAAATGTGAGTAGATGAATAGGTACTGCTCCCGCAAGAAGGTAATGGCGCTCCATGCAGTCATGCCAGCCACATGGCTCTTCGGCTTAGAAATGGAGATGAGCACCACGCCCCAGAGTCAGACACGACTAGACTTAATGTCAAGGGGAAACCTTTACCTTACCTTTTAGTAGAGATATAGACCCATACAGAAATTGTAATAATGAACATATCCCATAAAAACTTCATTTATATTTTTTAAAATATATGATTTGTAAGATAATAACATACATTTCCAAGGTTTTTGTCCTTTCCTGTTGCATTCACATGACACACCTACACACTACAGTCGATACACTAATGTGTCACGATGCATAGTTTAGAAAGCTGTGTCCTATAGAACTTTGGGGACAATTGAAAAAAAATGAGCCTCTGAATCAGGCATAGAAAAACTTTGGCTCGCCTGGGGTTTTGGACTTCTACTCCCACAATTCTTAACAGCCTCAGGCCCCTTCCCATTTTCCCCTCAGCCGCTTAAGTTTTACCTACTCTGGATACATGGCCAGAGTATCTTCTGTATGGCTCCAGAAGATTCTAGGACATCCAATTCTCTAAAGCAGTGGTTCTCAACCTGTGGGTCCCCAGATATTTTGGCCTTCAACTCCCATAAATCCTAACAACTGGTAAAGTGGCTGGGATTTCTGGAAGTTGTAGGCCAAAACACCTGGGGACCCACAGGTTGAGAACCACTGCTCTAAAACATGGTGCTCCATGACACCTTGGTATAGTAAACAATGCAAAGACTGTAATCTTTTCTTTTTTGTGGGCAGGTCAAGGGGACATTTTCCACCTCTATTCTATATCCACCATGAGCTTCCTGTTTCACGGCACTGTTGTAGGATTTACTTCACTGGTGAGATGAATCACCTAAAACGAGCATGTTGTAATAACAGAAAGCACTTTTGCTGCTGCAACAAACAATGGGTGGTAATCTCCCCTCTTAGGGGTGGCATTGGTGCTGCTTAAAAAGGGGGGCTTGTATCTCAATGAGGCAGGTTGAGGAAGCATAGCTGGTGCAAGGAATGACAAGATGGGCAACAAAGCAAGCCAAGGATCCCATGGTCGAATGAGAAATGAATAGGAACAACCTGTTGGGGATATCGTACACTTACAGCTCACTCCATTCCACATTTGTATAAGAAATCAGAGCTTGGAAGCTGCTAGCAAGGGGATTCTTGGAGTTGTAGTCAAAAAAATAACTCCCAAGTATATGGCAGTTTCCTGCCTAATTTCTCAAAGGGGTGCAACCTGGTTATATTTTAGGGATATTTTGCTCCAATGTTAATTTTACTACTCTGGTGTTAGCATTCATATTAATTTTCCATTCATACACAACCCTTCCTTCAATTACAGACTTTATCCTTTGGTTGAAGGTGTGGGAAACTATAATAAGTCCAGGGGCCATTTTTCTTCTTCTGCAGATTGTATGGGCTTCCCAAAAACAAAAACCTGGAGTGACTAGAAGTTCACTTCTGGGTTTGAAAAACGGGTATTTTTTTCCAATGGTAAATGGCACAGAAATAACCTGAAATCTATTTCATACCAGAAATAGAGCAATATTGGAGTCTGAAGGGGTTGAGGGCCATATACAGTCCATGCATAACCCCATAGGACCCAATGGCTTTACTTTGCTCACCTGCTCTATTGTTTCTCACACATGCACTAAAACTATTCTAAAGCTGTGTGTTGGCATCCATTCCTCCCATTAATTTTGCTGTGTGGGGAGTTATGGAGTGTGAGGATTCTGGACATGATACCATTGCATTATTTTAAATATAAAGGGCTTCTTAAACTGTATTTACGCTGCTTTAATATAATGGATCCAATTATGGTTTCTTCCAAAGAATTGTGAGGGGTGTAGTTTGGTGATAGTGTTGAGCATTCCTTGTTTACATATCAAAGGACCACTTTAAGACCTAAAGCTCCTTGAGGGTTGAGAGAGAAACTGCTGGCCCATGGGATTAATCTCATTGGATTTCTAGGGCAGCCGAAAGTATATAGTAAATTATTCCAATTTCAGTTGCATTTTGTATAGTATGTTGACATAACCAGTAATTCATTGCATGATCTACCTCTACATTTTCAAGTGCTGCCCCCACACCATGTAGCTACCAGGATTCTCATTTTGAAATGTTGTGTGTATGGACTTCCACTTTAGACAACAGATACCATCGATTGATGTCTCTACTTTTCTAACCCTGCTTTTTGGGGAGCCACCCATGATCTCATAAACCAAGCAGCTCAATTTCTCTCTCAGCCTTCAGTACAAAGCTACTTAGCGATTTCAGTGCTCCCACTTTAGAAAGCTATGCCTTCAGTTGCTTCTTTTTACTTTAATGTGCTTTGTTTCCTTTCTTTAAAAAATGAAAGCAGAATTAAAGGGCAGAAATCAGGAGTCTTGAGAGTGCTGCGTTTCACTTAACTTTATACTTAAAGCAGTAGGAGGGAGCCATCAGCCACAACCTCCTTCGACATGGCCTCCCCTGGCTTAGCTCACAATCGTGTATTGGTAAGTGTCTCTAGATTGGTCAAACATCATGCTTGGAGGCCTGAGTAGTTGGATGGCTCCAAAACATTCCCTTCTTCACCTCACTCCAAGAAAAAAAGATGTGGCTGAAAATATTAATAAGAGAAGATTGAGAACTGGTGTGATAGCCATAATATCGGAAGGGATGTCATGTGGAAGATGGAGGAAGCTTCTTCTTATTTCCAGCATTCCTTCTCAACCCCAGAAGGGGGACTCCGGCAGTTTACAACAGCAGCAATTCGATGCCAACAACATACAAAATCCATTACAACAACAATATTCAAGAAATAAAACTTTTGATTAAAATACATTAAAACATTATTATTATTCATCAAGTAGCTGGATCCATATCTGATTTAGCGACCGATGACTAAGTCCAAAGGCTGTCCTTATCAGAGTTCAAGCATTGTGAATACTGCCAAACCTACTGTCCAAATGCCTGGTCCCAAAACCACATTTTGAGCTTCTTTCTAAAAGAGAGGAGGGATGAAACCAACCTAATTTCACTAGGGAGAGCATCCCACAGGCAGGTGGCTACCACCAAGAAGACCCTGTCCCTCATCTCACCAAACACACTTGCGAAGAAGGCGGGATCCAGAGCAGGGCCTCCCCAGACGATCTTAAATTCCAAGGTGGGACATAGAGGGAGATACGTTCTTCTGCTTCAGAGACTAGAACACAAACCAATGGATTCAGATTGCAAGAGATGAGATTTCGCCTAAATGTGCTTCTTGATGACCAAAGTTGTTAACTAGTGCAATTGGTTGCCTTTGAAGTTGGTGGGTTCTGCTTTGGGGGATCTTTTAAAAAGTGGGTGGATGGTCATTTCTTGGGAGTGCTTTAATTGTATTCCTACATGGTAGAGAGTTGAACTAAATAATGTGTGTCAAACTCATTTTCATCGTGGGCCACATCAGCCTTATGGTTGCCTTCAAAAACTCATTGAATCTGTGGATGGAGTCGCCGTGAGTCGCCGTTTAGGCTGAGATACTAGCGGTATACAAATGTACTAAATAAAATAAATAAATAAATGGAGAGTCTGTGGATACTGAGGGCCAGCGATATTTTTTACATTGTGGTCTGTGCTCTTTAGGTTTGCCCAATTTGGATCCCAGATGTTATTGGATGAAAACTCCCATCACTTTTGATTTTCTGCCACGTGAACTGGAGATAATGGGGATCACAACCCCCATTATCCAACAGTGTTTGTTGCTCTGAGGTTGGGGAAAGCTTTAAGGATGCTTTAAGGGCAGAAATCATATCCAAAAACCTTGCATGTAAATTCAAACCATCCCGACTAAACAGAACAAACTGCAGCCTTCCACATGTTACTCTATCTCATCTTCCATTACTTCTAGTCATGATGGCTAATGATGAGGAATACAGAGTTGTAGTCCAGCATTTTGGAGAGTCACATAAAATGACATGGGCTGGATTCAGGCTGTGGACCTTGACGTCTGATGGTCCATGGGAACACTCCAGATCCAGCGTTGTGTGGAAATGAAAACCTGATGCATCTACTTTTGTTTTCAGAGAATGGGGTTGGGTTTACTGCAGAATGTACACCCACTCCCTTCACTATTACCACCTCAGCCTGAACAGATGAGAATACTATTGAGTTTTCCAACTTAAGAGAGCCTCTTTGCAAAGCAACATCATAGCAGATTCAAGCATTATTCCATCTTGCCAAGTGCTACACTTTGCCTGTAGAAGAGGTGGAGAACTGTTTTGGTAGAATACTAACACAAACAATTGGCTATGTCACTATATGCCTGTGGGAAGCCCAAAACATCTGGAAAGACAGAGGTTGCCCACCTGTGCTGCAGATGGAAGTTACATAACTGCTACCTTCTGGCACCGAAAGAGGAAAAACCACACCACATCCTTCAATGCCCAGTAGTGATGTTTATTACAGTACAGCATTTAGCTGAGGATGGAGCAAGTAATGGTTTCTGCAGCAACTGCTTTATGTCGGTGCTTTAATGTACCTCATTAGCTAGTACAAACAAAGCCTTCGTGGAGGAGGACCCCAAAAAGCATAATAGTTTTAATATTGCATAAAATGGGAAGTTGCCTGTCATAAAAGGTTTCCTGCTAGTTTTCATTCAGCCTGCAAGTCAGGGAAAATATGAATGTTGTTATAGCAACATATACCACTGCCCACCCAGGATTCCTTCAGTGGCTCATTTCAAAGCAAGAACAAGGCCGTCCTGATCACAGTTCATCAGAAATCAGTTTTCACTGCCTTGCATTGTGACCCACGTCCTTTAGTGCAATGGCTCCACGTAGTTCCCAGGGAACAAACCTGTTGCATCATTGATCACACCTTCACACCAGCCATCCGAATATTTTCGTGTCACATAAATAATACTCCCTTCTTCAAATGAGAGTTCATTCTCTTTTTGCTGAGTGTAAGGGTAGAGAGTCACAACTGCAGAAGAGAAGAAAGGAGCAAGTAGTCAAAGAGACAGTCAAAGAGGGAGAAGCAATAAAAAAGCAAGTATGTAAGTTCTCAAAAGGCCCCTAAGGAAAATTATGGAGGTAGTGACAGGGGAATTGTATTGTCAGGGTCACCTGATACACAAATAGGCTATGGAACATCCTTCCACATGGGGTGATATTGAAAGTCTGGCAGGTGGATCGGATACAAAAGGTGTGTACAAGATTTGCCGAAAGAACAAGAACTTCTCCAAAAAACAACACAAAAAGAGACATGCTGGAACAGCTCATTTAGAGCCTCATCACACCAGAGCATGGATCCACTTTAATTCTGATTTCTGCCTCCTGCTGAATTCTGGGGTTGGTAGTTTGGTAAAAGCCCAGGACCTGTTTGGCTGAGCAGTTTAAAGGGCCCTCCCTAAACTACAAGCCCCAAAATTCTGCAGGAGGCAGAAACCGGATTTAAAGAGGATCCATGCTCTGGTGTGATGAGGTCCTTAGTCGAGTTCATGTAGCATACTTACTTGCAGCTTTTCAAAATGCCAGTCATACCATTAGTCAGGACTGACACAGCAGGCATCAAGCAGCAGGTTTGGAGTATTGTTTATTCAGAAGGGCTTGGTGTTGGACACAACCCCCTCTCAATTAGTATGTGCAAACTGGATTTCACCTTTCAGAGCCACAAGTGTCTATGACTGCTCTGTCTAATATATATATATATATATATATATATATATATATATATATATATATATATAGCTTCTTCAATTCTATGATTCTTTC